GTGTGTGTGTGTGTGTGTGTGTGTGTGTGTGTGTGTGGGGTTATTGAGAGCTTGCTCTAACACCACACAGCCAGCCTGCACGTGCCCAACCTGCGGCCTGCCAGTGGCCAAACAAAAGAGATGATGTCATGCTTAGCCAATGACAAAAGAGTCTAGGTCTGTCAGGCCCGCCCTTCTCACCCGGCTGGTTCCAGCCTTATCCAGCTTTAGCATTAATCAAAAGCCTTATCCTCTTTACCGTGGGTGGGGGGATGAATAATGAAGCAGCCGTGGTGTRAGTGCGGTCAGCGAGAGGAAACAAACTGGGAAGGAACAGGTCAGCAGCGACGGCCGCGGACCACGTTTTGCAGCGGAGCCGTCATGAGAATTAAAGCGAGACAAAGGAGGAAGCACGGCTCCGCTGGGTGCCACAGTGTGACATCTGCCAGGCACAGGGCCTCACACAGAGACGAGCCCAACATAGAAACACATTCAAGCCGATAATGAAACTCATACCCACGACTAAATTCAAAATGTTTCCAACGTCACACACACCGCTGCAGCTTTCAGCTCTTTCAGATTCTCTTACCAAGCTCTTGTTTTGGTTGCTTCTTTTCCTCGTGCATCATCCAGCTGAAACATTTTAAATGATCCTGTCTGAGTAAAAAGACATTTGTGTGCACAAGAATCTTTGAAGCTCTTGCAGAGTGAAGCAGCAGGTGCACAGAAACACTTTAAACCCATTTAATGTGGCAGCTGAGCTGGAGGTCACTTTATTTAATAGAGTAAAATATCATAATCCATAGTTTAGTGTTTTTAAATATTCTAATTCAAAATGGTCGTAGTTTTGCTAATGGAATTAGTGATGTGATAGTATTTTACTACCAAAGTATAAACATACTAACATTTAAACAAAATCTACAAATGAAGCAAAGAATGCTCTAATTTTGAAATTAAATAAATATATTTATTTGTGTTTTTGACAAGGCAGATCATAGAGCAGAATAATCAGGTTCTGCAGTCAGTTAATTCTATTAAATAGTGAAAAAAATGGCGACAATGTGTAAAACATAGGAGACATTAGCCTATGAATGGTGAAGAGGATTAGGAAACAAAATGCAGTGTTTATTTTGAAATTATTTTTATGCGATTATTTAATTTTGGAGGGCAGGGTTGTCTTTTCACTTTCTGTCGGCTTCAAAAGCAGGACGGATTTGCATCTCGTGTAAAGAAKATAAAACAGGAGGAGGTCGTAAAAATGTTTTACACAACAGAAGACACGCCTCTCTGATCTGCTCCTGGCAACCAAGGTATTAAACAACAAAAACATTTAGATTTTATGGACAGTCATTCTGGGTCACACCTTCCAGAAAAATCTGAATAGCCTGTCAAGCGTCAACGGTTTATTGTGAGACGTGTAGCAAAGTCAAACGATTAAAAATAATGCTTGAAACCAGAAAAGAAAGACACCCAGAGCTCGTTGTTGGCTTTAAGGCTTATGCAAAGAAACGATACGAGGGGGACAAAACACCCTCCCGCCCTGCACTCTGCCAAGGTTTCCCCTCTCATACTTCCTTCAGTTTCACACAGAGCCTAAAAATACAGGGGGCCGGCATGGCACAGGTGGACCGGCCATGGAAAAAACTCGGTCATATTCAAGGAAGAAGTCATGGAAAAGGCAAGGATCCGATTTCAGGGCCACTGATAAGCTACAAATCTGCACTATCCCCCGCCTGAGGGCCAAATATAGCCCCCACAGATGTGATGCAGGCCTGGACTAGCACGACCCTGAACCAGGCGAGTTCACGAGACTGGCTGCTGAAGCGGAGCCTTACTCAGTAACTCAGAGCGATATTAATCTGACCTGAATCTGAAACTTCTGATACAGGAAACAAACGGCTCTGAAATAAAATGGTGCGTGAATAAAGCAAGCAGTGCTCCAACGTTGTTTAAAAAGCAAGCTTGCAATGAGACCTCTGATCTTTGGGCAACAATTATTTATCATTTCCTTTATGTTTCATTAGTTTTATATTTTATTGCAGCCATTTCAATAAAACTAAGATAATCCCACTGCAAAAATCAGCCACTTAAAATAAGCTTTAAAATACTAGATCAGGGCCATTCAACTGGTTCATTCATCTCTTAAACCCAAAGCTCTGGTTTTCCACTTTGATTAGTACAAGTTGTTTTAGTTTGACATAGACATGTGTGCTATCTATAGAATCATCAGAATCTTGGCTAGAATATGGTAAAAACATTTCTATGAGCATCCAAGTCTGCTAAAACTACAAGCAGTTCAATATAAAACTATGAAAGTGAAAAGAAAATTGGTTTAGAAACGTAGCAAGTCAGAAATGTCATAATAATATGTGTGTTAAATAGGAGGCATAATGTGTTAGTTTTGTTTTTGGTGTTGTTTTATTACCACTGCTTTTATTACATTGGRTTCTGTATGTTGTATTCAAAGGTAATAGATCTTTATAATAATTGATTTATTTACATAATGACTTTAATTGCAGGATGTTTTCCCCCGGTGCTGTTGGCCTGCAGTAACTGTGGCTCCCTGAGCAATTAAGTTGAATAGCCCTGTACTAGATTATTGTTTTAATCTTCTCAAATTAAGTGAAATAATCTGCCAGTGTAGTAAGACAATTGCACTTGGTAAGACTTCTTAAAATAAAACATATTTTCAGGCTAACAAGATTACATTCTGATATTGATTATCGGTCTCAAAACAAGATCAAAAATACATTTTGGCAGGAAAAAAAGATGGTAAGTTTTGGTTAAATTGACATTTTTTGCAGTGCATTGAACTATAACTCCATTATTCTAAAATTAACAAAGATTAGCTCCAAGTTTTTCTTTGCATATACCACAGGAAAACACGTCATTACCAAAAACTGTTTGGTGCAAACACACTGCAAAGTCAAGTGACAGTCCAGCCATGATGTCAACACTTGAAACACACGCAGCACTGCATTCAAAATGACAAAAACACACTCCTCTTCCACACAAACCATCGTCCCGTGGAGCTCGGACTCACCTTCACCTTGCCGTTGGGCTGCAGCAGCTCAGTGACGGACACCTTGTCCTGCTGCAGTCGCCTCTTCACCAGCTTGGAGTAGCAAACGTTGACGGCACCTTGCACGTGGGAGGCGTTGAACTCGGAGAAYGTCCGGCTGTCAATCACCAGCAAGCGACCCGTGCTCCTCTGGATGAGGCTCGCCAGGCGCTTGATGTCCATGGCGCTTCGCTTGCTGGGCCCCTTCTCCCCTGCCATGATGCAGCCGAGTGGCGGGCGGTCCGTAAGGGATGGGGGGTTCAGAGGGGACAGGTGGAGGAAGGGATGGGGAGGAGGAGAGGTCAGTGGAGGGAGGCTACCGCCATAAGATCCATGGTGCCTGAAGAGAGAGGGGCGATAGGAGCAGAAAGAAAATGTAACAAAAACAAATGACAAGCATTCAAAAACGAATGCTAGAGCTATTATTGTCGAGCTCTGACATTCAAATTACCACGATCAGTTCGGAGATTCTGAWAATGATGAAGCTCACGGGTCTCTCCTCGTGTTTCAAATCACTGCCATAAATAAAAGCCATTAAGCGCTGCAAAGTGACAATAGCAGCTCTTTTGAGCATGAGCATCTATGCTTTGGTGATCTATTTTTGCGCTTTTGTATCATCTTTTATTAGCAAGCTTTGAGACCCTCACGAAAATAACCGCAATGTTAAACACCAGTTATTTAAAGGCCTAAAAGCCGAAGGGATTATTAATCAGTGCTTGGATCTGAAGGAGCAGCATGCTTCCAAATAAAAGCACTCCAGACTTCAAGGGCCAATGTTATGTGTTTCTCAGGCATATATTTAAATACTATACCATAATAAAGTATCTATGTCACCTTTAGCTGTTATTAAAATGCTGTTTTTATGTTTAAATAGAAAATAAACTTATCTTCTCATCACTTCCTCTTCTAAACGCCTTGAAATTGGCCTCTGTCTCTTTAAGAACCACCTTCTACTTCTGTTCCATCCATTTCAGTGCATTGTTTCACGCATGATGCAGTTTACTTGGCATCTGAAAAAACATTTCCTCAAAGGTATTTTGAATCTGAAAAGAGCTTCACTGGGTGAGAAGTAGTGTTAAGAGCAGCAGACAGTTTAAGTTTCACTTTCACTCGTTTGCTTTGTTACTGCCGAGAGCCTGCAGGAGTCATGGGCGGGGTGTGTGGAGGTGTGCTCCGTGATGAGGAAGTTCGGCTTAAAGACACGTCCCAGGGGCGTTTCTGGTCCCCACCTGTCGTTTTGCTCCTCAGCATGGTTTCCTAAAAACGCTGCAGGATTTCTCAAACATGCGTGAATGAGTCAGAGCAAGGCTTTGGGTATGTTTTTTATGAGAGTGTAACATTATTACATGATATAAAAATCAAAAAAGTTGGTTTAACATGATATTGCCCCTTTAAATTAGACATACACAAGAATGATATGCAGATGTGCGAGTCTGATCTGGCAGCTGTTGATCGCAGCTCTTCTGCCCATGAAACAGGAAACTGAGGGTGTGAGATAAATAAAGCCGGGGAAATTTCGAGGGCAGGTTTGAACACAAGCGAAGGGCCCTGTGGGACATCCTGAACATGCATCTGTGTGCGAGCGWGTTTGTTTGTGAGTGTGTGTGAACAGAGAAATGTCCACAAACTCCATGACCTGCCTCCTCCTATCCATCGCTCCCAAAACCGCTCGCATCTCCGCCCACGCTCACATTCACCACAACATTTGCACCAAAAACACCCCCGAGTCCCACAATCACATCCAAACAACAATCAGGGTTTATGACTGCTTTTGTGCGATTAACAGTTTTTTCCATGCGAGGCTACTCAAAACTTCATTCATTTGAAATTATTTTATAGTCAAAATAACACCTTGTTACGTTGATTCTTTGGTTAAGCGGGTGTCATGTGACAAAGCAAGAGGCTCAGGATGTAAACACGTTATTTTACTTATCTGCAAGCACGTGGTGACATGAAAAATGGATGGACTCGAGTCATGTTTACCCTTAAGCCTAAACTGATCTTTAAAAAAGGGAGAGTGCAAAAGAAAGAGGCGTGGAAACAGATAGGGCAAGAGGAGGAAAACAAAAGAAACAGTTTGAGAAAGGCAGAAAAAAAGGTGGTGAAAAAAAATAGAAAAGGTGGTGAAACCTTTTTTATCTGATTGTTTTGGAATGACAGCAAAACCTCTCTGCTCTGCAGCTTCTCACTCGTGTTGTGGCTCTGGCATGCCTGTGCAGAGACGAAGAACGAAAAAGAGCTTTCCAGGCTGTAAACTCCACCAGATCGAGGTGAGGGAGGAAAAACTGAGGCGACGACAGAAGTGTTAAAAAATCGTGAGAAAATGGTAAAACGCTGTTGGTCTGGCAAACTTTTTAGGGTGTACACCACCTCCTGAGCTAATCAGCAGCTCCCTGCACCAATTTGAAAAAAGCAGGTGAATTAAATGGATGGATGGAAAGAATAACCAAAGAAAAAAAACATTCATTTTTATTTAGACTGATTGCAAATATACAAATAGCTTTGCTTAGCTTTTTCTGYCACAAAGGCATATATTTCCCATATAATCAACTCTTCAAACCATAACATAAATGCACAAGTGATGCTCCTGCCTGACACACCTGATGCGAAGGAAACAGAACATGGACCAAATCGCTTTGATGCAGTTAAACACAGACGTCCTGCCTGTTTTGTTAGATGACAACACAATAAGATGCGCAAAAAATAGAACGTCATTCACAACAAAAGCACCAAATCATAGAGATAACATACGAATGACATGATCAGATTCCACAAACTCAATGTGAATCCGTCTGCACGTTGCTCTGATTGAAACCTGCAGCATCCAAAGCACCAACAGAACATGCAGTGAACTCATCCAATCTTCAAACAGCTCCGTGGCAACACCTACCAGACACATTCCTGATACATAATTGATCCCTGTTACACCGTACCGTCTCTGGAGGGCAGCTGAGGAGCAACACAGCTTTCCAGGGAGGGAATCTTCCCCCCACCCCCACCCCTCAGTGTTTCTGTGTCCCAGCTGCTGAGCACAGCATCTGACGCTGCAAATGTCTAATGGCGACCGCTCTCCCTCCCACCCAGAGCCTCACAATTTTTTTCCCTTTTCTCCCTCTCTGAATCCTTTCTTCCTTCTATCACTTTCTTCCTCTCTTTTGTGCAGTAGATGGGGACGGGGAGGGGAGCAGGATTCGTGTTTTTTTTTTAAATTTTTTATGTTATTCGCGTGGTGGTGAGAGACCGGAGCGCAGCATCTTTCTACGCAAACATCCCGCACGGTTAAAAAAAAAAAAAAAAACTCAGAAAAAGGCGAAGGGAAAAGAAAATGAATTGAGTGAAGATGATGATGCTAATGTAAACAACCAGCATCGTGCCTCATCTGCTTACATATTTTTGCTTCTTATTATTTGGCAGCAGCCAGGTGTTTGCTGTGAGACTGTGGCTGAGTGGAGGAAAAACAAGCATGGAGGGGATGAAGCAGGTAGACAGACCGCGTGCAGAACCAGAGCAGACTCGGTTGTTGCCATGGTAACAGCCAGGCTAGGGTGAACGGAAGAGCGTGACGGTCAATGGGACGCTTCTGGTGCTGATGCTGGGTGAGGATGCAACAAAAATAATAATAATAATAATAATAATAAAAAAGAGACGTAAAGTAAAAGAAACAAAAACATTTAAATTGAAGATTAAACAGATTTTCTCATTTTGTTCCAGCCACCAAAATTTAAAGCATCTTTAAAATATTGTGACATCTTAAAGCTAACGACTCTACGTCTTCATGACACGGGTTGTTTTTGATTCGAAATTTTTCTGAGACGCCCTGATTCTGATGCGCATTATGCAGTGTTGCATAAAGTACCACAAAGTGTTCCTTGAGTAAAAGTAGAAGTATCTTTCCAAAAAATTACTTTGGTAAAAGTTCAAGTCTCCTTTAGGAAAATTACTTGAGTAAAAGTCTTGAAGTATCTGATATTTTTGTCCTTAAGTATTAAAAGTAAAAGTACTGATTTAAAATGAGCAGTTAGAATTTACATAAGGACATTTATTAGATGACCTCCCTCCAAAAAAGGCAGAAATGATTATATTGTATTTAAACAATTAATTTATGTTAAATTTAGGATGCACTAGTCCAGTTGTTTCAGTTTATATACATACTGTATATCAAGGCTGCACAAACCTTTTCCCCAAAATGAAAATCTATCTGAGGGCTGTGGCCAAATGCAATAATATAATTCATGAAATACAAATACTTCTTAAGTACAGTCTTTTTATTTTAATGATTACGTCCTGCTGGAGTGTGACATGATTTGTTTGTGTACAAACTAATACGGTATCAGAATTGAATATATTTGTACTTCTCATTCAACCACAAAATTAAAAGTTAAATTCACTCTATCTAGGAGGCACAATTTATATGAATAGTATTTATTTATTACAATAACAAGCTGGAATGAAAACAAGCAAAAATGAAATAAAAGTAACGACTTTCTGCTTTTTGCCTTTTTTAAAAATGTAAAGGAGTAGAAAGTGCAGCTAAATGTGTGAAAATGTAAGAAGTAGAAGTAAGAAGTTGGCCAAAAAATTACTCAAGTAAAGTAGAGATACCCAAAAATTCTACTWAAGTACAGTAACAAAGTRTTTGTATTCACTTTTCAACTCTGGTTTTATTCCTGTTTAACCCTTTAGGATCATTTTCTTAGCTTTTTCAAAATCAGAGTTAAAGTGGAATCACAAGGCTGCATCGCCATAAAGTTCAAACCAGTAAACAGACAAATAGCAGAGACATTATTGGGCCTCATGCAAGAACATGTTCGTATTCTTATCCTAAATTTCTCTTACTTTTGTTCGTACAAAGGGTTCGTACGAACATGTCACGTCAGATTCAACAAACTCTTCTATCTTCAGGAAAAGTGYGTAAATGAGCTGCGYAAATTCCACCTGTTCGTATCCAGCTGCTCGTGCACGCGAGAGGAGATTAGCATAATTACCACCCCAAAAACACCATATAAGGCTATGTTTCCTGCCTCAGATACAAGGAAGTGTCCATTCATGAAAATGACAGCGAAACTAAAAAAGAAGAACTTTACGAGTTCAGAGGTTGAAGTCCGTCTGTCAGAGATCCAGAAAATAAAATCTGTCATTTTGAGCAGGTCAGCTGTGGAATAAAAAGAGCTGCTAAAAGCATAAACAACGGTGTTAAATCATTTTCATTTATTCAGAAGACACACYGTCGCGCAACTAACTTTATCACACAGATCCCTTGAGTCAAGTTTAACTTCTGCTCAGCTTTGAACAGTCTACAAAACAAAATAAATTGTTCATTTTTTAATTTAATTAGAATAAAACGTGATGTTTTCTAGAATGATCAGTGTGATTTAAGGGTTAAAATTAATAAATGTGACTCAACCAGAATAAACAGAGGTTCGTAACTGATGGTTTCAACACATAACAAATATGACTCATGGTGTTTTGAAGCCCATAGTTTTGAATAATAATTTGATGACATCTTTTGTCCAGCGTACAGCTCTTTGAGTTTGCATTGAAATGGTCCGAGTTGTGTTGTGTCAACTCTGGCACGGCACGGCTGACTGTTTGGGTTTAACATCTTCTCTGTAGCCAAAACATTTCCTCGTCACTGACAGAGTGTTCTGCGTCTGGAACGTGTTTTGCTTTTAGCGTATTTTTGAGCACAGAACCTGCACAGTCCTCAAGAAACCTTTTAAAAACGACTTTGTAAAATTAGATGTGTGCTTTGCTTTAATATGGTTTTGTGTTGACGCAGTTTATTAAACAGCTGAAGTCTTTTAAACAGTTTTACACATGTTTTCTCACAGGACAACAACGAGGAAATGCATCCTTTTTCACCTTCTCGTAAAGTCGATATATTGTCACACAAATCATGAGCCCACTTTACAGCTGCTCTCTTTATGAGCACCGATAAAAAAATAAAATAAAATAAAAATGATAACAAAAGATGAAGCAAGAGGAAGTAACTATCTCCAGAAAGATCCACAGTCCATGCAGAAATTTTCACTCGACCTTTTAGACAAGAGAATAAAAATAAAATTAAATTAAATAAATAAAAAWTAAAAACCTGAGCCGAACGTGATGGAGCGGCTCGCTGAAGCTCTATCAGACGTGACRGAGAGAAGCAAACACAAAAGGGAGCAACTGGAGGGCAGCAAGCGGTGATGTAATACCACCCGGGTTATTCATTAAGCGCCTACATCACGTCACCTGCGTCCCCAGCCTTGAATAGTCTGATAAGAAACGGACTCTTCGATTGGCTCAACAGACACGACTTATTTGTTTATACTGCAAACAATGACATCATGAGAGCATCTCTGCGTTCTTCAGCCATAACCATGAGCTAAATGTTATGTTTAAGTGTCCTCACAGCGTGTTCCTTATTTACATTTGAATGCATCATTCATACATTTGGCTCTTATAAACTGACCTGCCTTGATCTTGTGTTATACTTAGCTATATAAGAAGAAACTTATCAAAAAATAAAATAAAACAAAACTTGAATTTATTCTTGATGTTTTCCTAAAGGTTTCACTTGGCTGTGAATGTTGCAGGCATTGGTGACTACAAAGAAAATKACAAGAAAATTTGACATTTTTCAGTTGTCGCCTGACTGAATCTTCACTTTTGACATTTTGCTGCACATGTTGCAAAAAAAAAAGTCACTCAACCTGCTGACAGTTTTTGGTCAAAGTTCACCAGATGTTCACATTTTTGTTGTGTAACGCTTCAAGAATGTCCTGCAAAAGTCATGTAACAAAACTGCATGACAGACAGGAAATGTGGAGCATTTAAATACGAGGCCCTCTCCCCAGCTCACTAAAGCTGTGGCACAATTCCGGGCTTGCRGCCCACTTAGACCGCAGCCCACGTAGGGTGTGGCCTACATGGGCCATACAGGCAGTGTAGGCTGCATGAAACGACTGTGAAATGAGACGCTTCAGACTTTGCCACGGTATTACATTTAAAATCACATACCTTCAGTTGGAACACAGAAGGTATAACTTCACAAAATTCCAAAAATATTTAAAAAGTGTTACTTGTAAATAAATAATAATAAAAAATATTAATTTTGAAGTAGCKCCACAATCAGTGCTTGTAATTATTTTTATTTAACATCTCACTGCAGCAAAACATACCTGCATCAACTAAGCTACATGCATTTAAAAAAACAAATTATTTGGTCCGTAATGAATTTCCAAAGCCCGCCGTCAAAAAAATGCAAACGTACGTGGCCAACAAATGTGCACTACCTGTACTGCAAATGTGAACTGAGGCACAGACATTATCCATGCTTCTCAAACTTTTGAACCACAAAATAACATCAGAAAGCTGTGCCCCCAACTCTTTTTTTTTTAGGTATTCAATGTCGTTATCAGATCAAAACACAAACAACATTTCATCCATTTTTAAGTACACTAATCAGACTCTTTTGAAACAACTAAAAGTTTTTAGTTGTCATTTTTAAATGCAATTATTCAGAAAATCCATTCAAGACCCCAACTTGATGTTTCAGGACCCATAGTGGGGTCCTAGCTTTGGGAACCCTGTTTGTGCACAGTTTGAAACGAAATTTTCATTTCCGTCTCCAAAAATCATAACGGACTTCAGCAGGTAAATGCTAAAGTTGGAACTATTGCAAACTGAGCAGCACTTGGAGCACCTATTCAGGATGATTGCTGCACCCAATTTAAGCGGATTATTTGTAAAATTGACTGAATTATGTTCATATTGTGACCGATTTGAATTAGCTGTGACACACATCTTGAACTGAGCTGACTTCTAAATTTATTAGTTGTAGTTGCAGATAGTAATTTGTAAGTTATTGCATGAAAGTTGCATTAAAATCTGCTGGTGAAGAGATATTTTTGACTTGACTCCAAGAGGTTAATGTCAATTGTTTTTTTAAAGATCTTGCACAACCTTTTGACACGTTCAGTACAATATATTTTTGCAGCTGAGGGTTTGAAATAAATGATAAAACAGGGTTGTTTCTCCCTGGAAGTTCCCACTGAAACATGCGCGCTGCTGTTAACAGCGAAGGTGTAATTTAGAAAAATCAATTCCTGGCTGGCCCTGGTGGAGAAGATCAGCACCACGATACTGTAAACAACCGGTCCAAATATAAAGCCCCCCGGTGTCCTCTGATCAATACACTCCCATTCAGGCCGCCGGAAGTTAAAGGCTCAAATAACAAACAACACAGGGGCTTCAACATGACAACTGTTTCCGGATGGATCCTGACACAACAGCTAAGAAAAACAAAGCACGCCTGACGATAAATACACACCCTCTGTAATCTGAGGTGGAAAACAAGAGTTCCTTGGAAACACGCAGCTTCAGATGTTGCGACCAATGGAGGGATGAGCCGCACAAAGACACAGATGGGACACTGTATCCCCCTCACAGCCTTAATACAATGATGGAGCGCGCGCGGCCAAAGCGTTCCCCGACCTACATTAGAGACGGAATAAACAGCGCGTCATTTTTTTTWWAAAAGCTGGGATTAAATTATTGGTAATTCACACCATTATTGACGGGCTCATCTTGTCCTGGGTCAATATCCTGTTTTGTTGTGACGCGTAGAAATGTCTGCGCCGCTCCACTGAGCAGAAAAAAAAAAGAAATTTTGAATAATGACGACCAGAGGAAGAGGAAGGGGAAACGCACCTACCTCACAAGAACTGGAAGAAAAACAAACGACTCTTCATCGCAATGAAATATCTGTAAACTTCAACCTGGACGGGAATAATTCCCTAATATAAGACGTGCGCGCACATAAAGCGGGGGAGTGCGCGCTGACGGGTTCACTGCAGCAGGAGGYATTTATGGCAAGCCAAGTTACCATTTAACAGTTGGACAGGATCTTGAGCAGATCAGCTTTTCTTATCGCCAGAATGATTATTTCAGACCCCCTATTTAATCCCTTTTCTCTATAAAGTGACTATTGTGACTATTTTTTTTATAAAATATATTTTGGATTTGTTTGTTTTTTTATTGTTTTAGAATCCCATATTTTGTGTTCTGGGTGGCTGTAGCACCTGTCCAGAGATTACAGATAAAAATAATAAATAAATATCTGTCATGGCCAACTGGCGTTCAAAGTTTAATGTGCTCCCTGATGAATAAACCAATCAACTGCTGACCACCAAAATGCCACACAATGAGTAGAAATGACACAAAAACAACAACAGAAACTTTGTGTTAAGAACTGGATGGAAGAACACAAGCGACACAGAGATTATATTAATAATAAGTAATAATAAACTGCATGAACAGGATGTGAGTTTCTCACATATGTTGATTAAGGTTAGGAAAAATTCCTGTCTGGAAATCCTTTTTTTAACGACAGAAAGACTTGAATAATGAATAAGTGAAGTACAGTATAAACAATGATGACTAAGTACAATCTTACTTTCACCAATAAATTTGGGAATTTCCTTTTTCTATTTAGAATTGGCATTGACGGTGAACAGGCAAAGTACACAGGATTCCCAAAAGTCATCCAGTTGTTTACTTTTTTATTTGAGACAAACCCCTAGCATCAATATAAACTTTTCTCCAACTAAAACTGATTGATTTCCCTCAAGATGCAAAGGTGACTTTTACAGTAAGCCTAAATATTTATGTTTTAAATTATCTATATTCTAAAGATAAACCAATTTTATCTGTCATTGCATGCCTTAATTTCCACCCACGAAATACGAATTTAAAAAATGATTAATATTATTCCATTTACAGTGGTGGACAGTAACAAAGTACTTTTACTTTATTACTGTAATTAAGTACATTTTTTGAGTATCTGTACTT